TAAATTTATAATGTATTATAAGTATAATATAAAATAAAACATGCGAGGTTGCGAATATTTCTCGAGGCTCATTTTTTGGTCCAGTAATATTGTTATTGGGGTTGGTCGTAAAGAAAAAACATTGGGGGCTGGGCGTCAGATTGTATTACCATTTGTCCACAGTGAAATGGACCACCGTTGTACCCCAAAGAAGTGTCAGTCAAAACTCAAAAGGAACTTTCCTTGAAACATGCTGGGCAATGAATCACATTTCTCCAATGACATTTCTGCGTAAATGCAACTTTAGATCAAAGTCTTCTCCTAATGGCTTTTAAGTCTTTCTCAAGACTCATGCTGATAGGATTAGTGCCCATTACTTTAAATGTGGATTTGGAAAAAAAATTTTGTTCAGATTGACTTAAAGACTTCCATTCTAATGCAATTAGATAGTAAATTGCCTCATTCCTTGGTAAGCGAAGGTATTTAATAGTATAAATTAAGTGTAGATATGTAGTGAGCCTTTGGCCATCAACATTTAACAACTTCATAGTTATAGTTAGACTAGATCAGGCGTGACACTATGTTACATGAACCAATTGCATTTCTTTGACTTTAATGTATTCCTATTTTTTAAATGAAAAAATGTTTATTAATCGCATGGGTAAAAAAACTAAGCAAAAAACTTTTTTAAACCATGTTATTTTAATTAATTTTTATTGAAAAAACAAAAAAATCATATTAGTTTTTAAAATATAAATGAGATTGTTTTAATATTTTATAATATTTTATTAAAATAATATAATTTAATTATTTTTATTTGATTTTTTTATGTCTAATTGATAAATATTAATATTTTTTTAAAGTAACATCTAACTTTATAGAATAGGAAAAAAGAAAAATAATGAAAACAAAATCATTTGTATACACCTCAGTGTCATTGCAAAAGTCTGAATTAGTTATTGCCTTTTACTAACTTAACTGGAAATGACTTACAATATAGACCCAAGGTGACAGCAGGCCTCACATGTAGAGAGGGAATGAACCAATACCGTTTGTTGGAACCTCGGAAACCCCATGACCATATAGGGAAGTTCACGTAGCATGTTGAAATTGGAGCAATGTATCGATTGTGGAGAGGGAATGAATCAATATCATTTGTTAGAGCCTCGGAAACCCCATGACCATATATAGGGAAGTTCACGCAGCATGTTGAAATTGCAGCATGTGACTCTTTCAAAATTAATTATTATATAGGTATAGTAAATATTGTTTTATAAATTAGATTTAAAATTTAAAATTTAAAATTTAAAATTAATATTTAAATAAATTAATTTTTGTAAAATATATTATATTAATGTATGAAATGATTTTAAAATTACTTAAAGATAAATTAATTTTACAGACAAAAAAACTAATTAAAAATATCTTGGTTGTAAATAATAATAATAATTAATTCAAAGCTTCTACTGGGCTTTATTTTATGGGCCTAATGGCAATGATTTTGTGGGCTTATAAAAAAAAAAAAGAAAAACTTTATATTAAGCTTTTGAATTTATTTTAAATTCTCAATTAAAAATTTAAATTCTTATTAAAGTAAATAAATTCTTAAATTTTATAATTTAAATAATTTAACTATTTTTTTTACATCAAACTTAATTTTGTTTGTACCTTATTTATATAAATAAGATTAATACTTACATGTAAATAATAATATGTCAATATTTTATCTACACAAATTAGTTACAAATAGATATTAAATTCATTATAAAAAAAAGGATTAAATAGCTTAAATTATTGAGTTTTGGGATTTATTTACTTCAATAAAAGTTCAAAAATTTAATCAAAAATCTAAAATAAGTTCTGAGACTTAATGTCGGGTTTTGACCATAAAAAAAAAAAAAGTAATGCCGTAATCATATATAGATCTAAATTTGCCAAATTTTTTTAATGATTTTCTTTTACGGTAAAGTTCATTATTGAAGATCTTGACCAAGTTCCATATCATCAATTTATTTTCAAAATCAAAGTGCTCTTTTTTTATTTTTATCAAAACTGTAAGTCTTGTGCATGAATGGTTTTTTTAATTGGCCATCCATGCATGTTTTTCCCGATCGAGATGCATTGAACTTGAGGAACTCTAATAGTCTAATTGGTAATTCCAATTCTACCTCCAAGAACAGGCTTCGTACTAGTGTTTAGTGCCTTTAGTTCATGAACTAAAGACAATCAACTGAAATTGGTCACAATCCTTTGAATTACCATGCCCCCAATTAGATCTCAAATCCTAATTTCGATAAAGATTCTATGTCATAACTAACTTCTAATCCTCCCAATCCCTTATGATCCATTTAAGTTTATTGCAAATTGCAATTATTAACTTTGTGTTTTATAACCTAAAACTTAAAAAGTATATCTTTTGTAATACTTTTCAACAAAAGTATAATTAAAGTTTTAAATTAGAGTTTTATTATGATATATTTTTTAATGCATAGATGAAAGATAATTACCCCTATAAATTAATTTTTACAATCCAATAGAAGGTAGGTCACGAACATCAAAATCTAAAAGTTAACCATGAGTTGCCAGATTATAAACTCATATTTTAAAAGAATGTGATTGGTATAACTATTTAAGAGAGGAGGAGCTGGATTAGGTCCGTAGGCAAGACCTCAGCCAGTGATTTCCACTAAAGCAAATGGTAGTGCCCCAAAACATGAAATCCAAATCCTAAACTTATGAACCTTAATATAATGGAGGTAAGGGTAAACTCTAACCTGTTTAGATAGAAGACTAATTTTATCATAAAATTTTTATAGAGAAAGTATATATAGAACGTTGAGAAGGTTTGTAGATAAATCTTATTAAAATGTCGTTGAATTGTTAATTTTTTTGTATTTAATAAAAAATTGATATGAATCAAATTAGTAAAAAAAGTTATCAAATAAATTTTATATAAAAATTTTTTTAAAAATATTTCTTTTAAACATGTGAAGAAAAGTTTATGAATTAAGAATTGTATAAAAAAATAAATATTAAATTTTTATTTTCTTTTATCATGGTATTAATATATAAAAATATATAAATTTTTTTAAAAAAAATTTAGGGAACAAAAAAAATGCCCCTAAAGTCTAAACAAGAAAACACATCAAAGTTAATTAGTAATCACGCAGTAGTCGCCGATAAAGCGGTAATTATGATGTTACCTGACTTCTTAACAACCTATGGCTAAGGCATTATGGTTTCCCATCACATTCACCTCCATGATTGTTCAACTCCATAATTAGATGGTACTCAGTTAAGAAGAAACTTCACGCAACAGAAAACTTCGCTCGTATTGGGACCATATCTCCATTTCTTTTCTCATAAATTAATGCAAGAGAGAACACTTCCATGCCAATTTGAGGAAATCATTCATCATAAACAACTTTTTTATGATTAAATTTTATAATTTTAAATGATAGTATTAATTATAATTAGTTTTTTTTTAAAAAAAATTTATAGGACATGTCATGTTTTGTAATTATTGTAAATTGTATGTAAGTCAACTTCATTAACAAAAAAAAGACGAACATAATCACAACCTCAATAAAAACAACTTTCTTTGGAAAAACAAAAAACCAACTAGTCAAATTTGTTAACGTGGCACTGTCTCATACTGTCATCTCAACGACCATGACAAACCCATATTTACCTTTATTTTTTTTTATGTGTATGACAAAAGAAGCCACCATTTATTTTATTATAATAGTTGAAAAATAAAATCACGAAAATAAATGAATAAAATGAAAAAATTTTAGTCAAAAAGACGAAGGAATTAATGATAAAAGGAATCGTAACCCCTTTCTTTTTTTACAAAACAACGTTGTTTTATAGATTAAAAAAGAGAAAACAATGAGCAAAGCATTACGGTACAGCCACGTATCATGATTCTTTGAACCAAGTGAATTGACATGGCATCAGCTCCTTGGATGAAATCGCTGGGTCCATAACACTCTGTTTAGAAAAATGATAAAGGAACCATTTTTATTATTATATAAATTTTTAATATAATTTGATATATTGTTTAATAATTAATTTTTTATTATATAAGAATTATGATATTATATATTAATTTATGTTTTATTATTTAATTTTTGTTATAGAATAATAATTTTTTTATATTTTAAAGAAGATATTAACAAAAAGTTTGGTCCAGTTTAATAAAATTATTTTATAATTGTAATTATAAGTTATTTTTTATCTTTAACATCTTAAAAAATATATGAAATATATTAGATATATTTAATATTTATTTTAATTAATATTTTATATATTTTTAAAATAATAAAAAATATAAAAACTAAAAAATTAAAGTACAAAAAATTATTTTAAATGAAGTCTTAGCTAAGTTGATAGTCACCAGTTTAGAAAACATTATAGTAGATTAAAATAAGAAATTTAAACTTTTATGATATTAAATAATTAATTTTATAATGTACTAAAAAATAAATATTTTCTTACTTTAATAATATTATTATCTTTTAATTTTAATTATTTATCATATTTAAAAAAATTATTTTTTAAAAATAAAGTAGATAAAAATAAAAATTATTCCTAAATTTTTAATTTAAAAATATTTATTATTTTAAAAGTAAGATGAAAAGAGTGTAATATATAAGAATTTAAAAAATATTATATAATATAAATTATTAGATAAAAATAAAATATTAAAATCAATTTCATATTCAATAATTTATATTTAAATTAATGCGAATTAGTTTTGATTTTTAAAAAAAATTAAAATTTTAACATATATTTAGAAATTAAAATTTTAATTTAAAATTAAAAAATTCAACTAATTTTTAAATTGAAATATTAATATTTGATAAAATATTTTTTAAAATTTTGAATTAAATTTTAATTAAATAAAACAGTATATCTAAAGTTAAGATTTAATTTTTTTTAAAAATCAATATTAATATGTGTTTTTCTCATTTATATTTTATAATTTACTCATAAAATCTAAACACCAAAACCAGAAAAAAAAAAAAAAAAAACTCTTAAAATTATACAAATAAATTATCGGTATATTATTACCTCCACTTTATTTCCCACCAAGGAAATGCGTGAAGATAAGCACAATATTTTACAGACGACGCCGTTTATAGTTTCAACTTCATTTTAAAACCCCACAATCGACATTCCCAAGACGATTTATTAACTCAATTAAATCGCCCTCACGATTCCGAATCGCTAAATTTATTAATTTTCCTTCTCTTAAATATCCACGAATTTTGAATGCGTTGAAGGAGAAGAAGGCATATACGAGGGGATTAAGTTACAGCAGCGGGTATGGCGATATCTGATGCAGTGATTGGGAATTTGACGCCGATCTACGTGGCGGTGATAGCTGGGATTAAGGCTTATGGGCTGGTCACTGGGCGGAGCTTCAGTGGTGTGTTCGTGCTGATTGTTTCCACCGCCGTGGTGGGCGTCATCCTGATTGGAACGCTGACGTGGGACGTCTTACGTAAAGCCACATACGCGGTCTCCCGCGACCACGTGCATGTCCACGAGATGTGTAAGGGCGGCATCTGCTGGCACGGCGTGGCCGTCCGGTCCCCAGCTTCCCAGGTTCGGGTCCGGCTTCCTCAGCAACTTGCTTCCGGTTCTCTGTAAAGTAGATGAAACCCAGCCAGGCTTCAATTTTCTTTACCTATCAAAAGACTCGTAAGGTGTTTGCGTTTTTGATTGAGAGGAATAAGATACTGTGTATAAACCATAAAATAATGTAAGTGGAGAATATATTTCTGTACAGATAATTCTCTATTCCACTTTGGGGTTTTTCAGTTCAATCGTTGTTCGGTCAAAAGTTGTCTTTGAATTGAAAGTGGAGGAGAGCATTTAGTTTGTGAGATATTTTTTTGCAGCATCTACCAAACGGGGGAATGCATGTAACTCTAGAAACAAGATTTCCTAGATTTTCAAATCCCTTTTGGATATTTGGAAGACAAAGTTTAGAGTTAGGTAGGAAAAGGATAACAGATTTCAATCAAAACACTGATGAAATTTGTCCGAACTGATGAGTAAATTAGCAGATGGTTAAGTCTAACATCTGACTCTGTTCTTTTGGTTTGTCTGTTTTAGAACAGTTATTGTTCTTTCTTTAGCAAATTCAGGTTTTGTTTGGTTACTGGAGTCTTGTTTCTTATGTCTGCTTTGGATATGAATGAAAAGAAGGAAGCATCCAATGAAGAGGATTGCATTGGTAAATTTGATTTTTAGGTAATCGATTTCCATTCTGCTTCTGAACCAGACGGGGGTTGGGGACAAGTGCGGTGGTGACATCTTGCAGACTTGCTCTGTTGCGTTGTGGTCCTTAAACCAGTCAGATTAATCCTAAACTTCTTTTCAAGATTAAGAATGACGAAGAAGTTTGTACTAAACTCTTGCAGTAATTCATTAATTTTTTTTAAAAATTGAGTTTCTGAAATTAATTAATTCTACAGTTACAATAATAGCATTCTTTGGTAATTTTTAACTCAGATATACTTGCATGAATAAAGTATATGAATGTCATTTTGTGTTAGTTTATAAACAAAACAAGATATAAAATCTTATACTAATTAGCCTATTAAACAAAACAAGATAGAGAATCTTACACCTAATTAGCCTATTAAACAAAACAAGATAGAAAATATACTAACATTTTGTGATTAGCATAATGGTGTGATTAGGTAATATGCCAAATCAATTTATGCAGACGACTCTTCATTTCAGTGAAAAGAAACCAATATCTTCTTGAAATGAGTGGTGCTACCATGATTCTAGACACATTCAACATGGAAGTCCCTTTCCGGTTTCCTCCATTTACATGGTTCAATGACTTGATAATTTTCCCCATAGATTTGTAAGGGAAAAGATGAAAGCTAAGACATCGTACCATCTTTCCTCAGATAATATCTTAGAATTAACAATACAACCACCAACTAAAATGGCCAACTACAAGTCTACAAGTCTAAGTTGTAGATTAAAAGCTTCGCAAACTAATTACTAGTACTGAAAATGTAGAATAAGAGATTGTTGAGATATCTATATTTTGTGCATCAACAGAGGTCTTGCCAACTAGCAGGAACAAGAACCAAATCGAATTTAAAGATCTTGTTTTTGCGTTAAGATCATGAGTTCAATTACAACTAAGTACAAACTTTTTCACATCTTTTTTCCTAAAATTAGCATCTGGTTGACCTAGTTGTTAGAATATTGTTTGGTTATTGAGATAGCCTTAAAAAAATTAAAAATTTTAAAAAAATTAAAAAATCTTCAACTTCTAAGGATGTGAGAAGGGATAAAATACGAAAAGTCCTAAACCTTTAAAGTCACTTGTAAAATGGTCGTTATTTCAAAGGGCATAAGTAATCCCTTAACTTTAATATTACCTCTAAATTACTCCTAATCATTTGAAATCAGCACAAGTAACCCCAAACCTTCAAATATGTTTTCACTTTGGTCTTCTCCTTTCGTGTATATATATAAATTTTTGAACAAAGGGAAATGTGGGGGATTGGGGGAAATTAAAGAAAAAAATTACAAGTTTTTTATTCATTTTAAATGAAATATTTCTAATGTTAATTGATAATTAATTAACGTTTTTTTTTTAAAACAAAATAATTTAAGGACTTGTTTAGCTTAAGTCCACTTCTCTGTCAAATTTAACTCTAAATGAAATGGAAAATAAATTCTTTAACTAAAAATTTCATGTAGCACATTGGATCCTACCACGTACACTTTTCCATTGGAAAATTTTTTTTCCATTATTGTTCCAATTTAGCACCGGAATTTGACAAAAATGACCTAAGTGAGATATATTTGGGTTTTGGGTTTACTTATATGAATTTCAAAAGATTATAACTATTTTACAAGCAATCTTAAAAATTCTGCGGGATTGCTTAAAGAATTAAGACTATTTTACAAGCAATACTAACGCTTAGGTGTTCTTTTTCTTTAATTTTACCCTTCAAAGATTTTCAATTTCACCTTCCAAAAAAAAAAAAGTCAAAAAATACAGCCACCGCCAGATCGTTCTAACGAAAACTTAACAAAAATCATCCTACGGTATAAGGCAAAAAAATCAGCTTAAAAAAAAAAGCACACAGAAACGACTCCCTCTTGTCTCCACATTTCGACACATATGCGTACAAGTCATCTGTAATCTACTTTCCTCCCCTTTCTTCGCTCTTTCTTCCCCAACCGACCTCATCGTCCGAGGAAAAAAGAAGAAAAGCTTACAAGCCGCCATGTCTAATTCTCCCTCGCAGGCGCCGACACCGACACCTACAGCTGACGAATCGGACGCCGATAGGGTGGAATACTGGTGCCATCACTGCAGCAAACGCGTCTCCGTCGAAACTGTTGAAAATCTCCCTGATGTAATCTGCCGCGAGTGCAAAGACGGATTCGTGGAGGTCATCCAATCGGTACCTTCCGATGCTGATCGACACGATGATTCCTCTTTTACCTCTCAGTTCGAATATGTTTTACGGATATTAAGGCAGGTGGCGCGTGAGGACAACGGCACTCAGCCGCCGCCTCAGGATCCCCAATCTGAAGACGATTTCTTTGGAGTTGAACTCGACGGATGGTACAACGACGAAGACGATGATGACGAAAACGACAATGTGGAAAGTGTAGCGGTAAACGTTGACGAAGATGAGGTAGATCGATCTGTTGATGAGATTGAAGAGAACAGAAACACCGGTGATGACGATGACGGAGATCTTAGGCGAATTACCCGCGAGGAGGTCCTGCGCCGTGTCCGAAACCGCAGGAGACTGATTCAAAACCAATTGACGGGGATCCGAATGGGCTTTGGAGGCAACTCCATTGAGTTACGCTTCGATCTGTTGGATTCAGACGGCTATATTGGCAATCCAGAGGACTATGTGGACGCAGCTGGCTTTGAGGAGCTGCTCCAGAACTTGGCCGAGAGTGATATTGGAAGGAGGGGCCCGCCACCGGCGGCAAAATCAGCAGTTTCAGGGTTGCCGACGGTGGAGATCTTATCAGAGGCAGAGGCGGTTGTCTGTGTTATATGTAAGGATGTTGTCGGTGTTGGAGAATTTATAAAGAAGTTGCCATGTGGCCATGGCTACCACGGTGACTGTATCGTGCCATGGTTGGGTTCGAGGAATTCGTGCCCGGTTTGTCGGTTCGAATTGCCTACTGATGATGCTGAGTACGAGGAGGAAAGGAATAAGAGAGCGCCTCCCAGTGTTGCTGGACCTTCAGCTTCTGGTGCTGGTAATTCGGGTTCAAGTTAATTCAATTGGTAATTCTGGTGCATGCAATGTTCTTCTTCTTTCTTTCTCGGGAGGATCTTCAGAACTTGTTTATTATAAAATTGTTTATGAGCTACCTTTTGCCTCTTGTTTATAACTTTAATTTGTGCTGGATTAGACAAGAATGAAATTGGATTTAATTTGCTTCTGAATGTAAATAATATTTAGTCAATTTATTTGATTTTATATCTGCTTGGTTCAGTTTTGCATCATATTAGAACATTTTGAGTAAAACTACAGAAATTGCATGCTGTAGATCATTGAATAGGCATATGATACTACTTTTTGAATCTGAAATTGTTTCTTGCAGTTTGTGGTTTGTAAGGCTAGGATGATTTTTTTCCTTCTAATGAAAACTAGCATGGTTGTTGGGAATTCTGGCAGTTGCTCGTGCCAGCTTATAGGCCAGTAATCGGCCTCTTTCACGCCTTTTAGAAATCAGCATTTTACTATATGCAAAGGCAAGTGATTTGCCTTCTGATGTTTTTTTTTTGGGTAAACTCAAGATGCTCTCTACATCATTATATTAGCCCAATTATTGATGAGAATCGAAAGTCAAAACCCTGTTTTAACTAGTTGGGAGGCGCCTTTGCCATAGTCTTAACAGGAGCTGTGGTGAATTCTAGTTGTTAGTGATGATTAATGTCCTCTCAGTTAATGGTAGTGTGATTGTTGGAGAATGAATGTGGCTCTTTTACTTACTTTGTTGAGTTAAGAATCTCAGATCAATTGTCAATCAAGTTTTGAAATGTATTATAATGTTTATACAGTTGGAAATCAAAACTGTTATTTGTTAAGCACCATGGTGATTTTGAATTGTATTGCTAAATATTCCAAAATTGATAGTGTTAAGTTGTTCTTTCAAGTTATTGTTGGTAGTTCTTTCCTTTTGTGCATCCTTCTGTTACGTGACTCAAAGTTTTTGTACACTGAGTTTTTATTCTTTTAGTATGTCAAATAATGCAATTTTTGGTTGCGTTTGGCTATTTATGCGTAGTCCTGCATTTGTTCAAAACCAGAGATTTAAGGGGGTCACTTCCCTCCTAGGGTATCAACATTTTTGAGACGGTACTTACTCTCTCTCCTCCATGGCTCCCTTTCTCTCCACATGGTGGTTCAGTTCATCTCTTCCATGGTGTTGACACCTCAAGCAAGTGTCTTCAAGCCTCCAAATTTCAGGGCATGTTCTCAGCGATGTTAGAATCTGAGCGGCGTTGAATGTTTCTAGTTGTCATCTCCTTCCTCTTATTCTTTTTCACCACTCCTTTTCTCGTTATCTCTAGTAAATAAAGTGATATTTTCTTCCATTTGCTTTTCTATGACTTCAGTATAACTCTTTTTTTAGCATTACCGTTTTCCTCATTTTTTCTACCCCCAGCCTTTTTGCCATTTGCTTCACTACGGCCAAAACAAAAAGGCCAGCCTCTTTTTTGCGAAATTTCTTGAATTAACTGGGAATAGCAACCATGCTAAAGGCTCTTTCAGTGCTGCCCTGTTTTGTGAGGCAAACTTTGCGGGGTCCTTTTGGCTGTCAGGAAGGATGCTCCTATGGGAAAGGATGTCCTAATGTGTTGTTACGAGAAAAAAGAGCATTGAATTAATACAAAAAAGGGCTAAATGGTTGCCTCAGCCCAATATGTACTAGGTGGGTCTTAAGCCCAAATGTTGTCACGGTCCATATCAGAACTCAGAAGCCGACAAGGTGTCGCTCGTGTGGTCCGAGTGAATTCACCTTTACGTCCCTATTATAGCACAGGCCCAACCAATGACTTCTTGTTAATTGAAAAGGGTTGGATTGTTTTTAAATAAGATTTTAAATTCTAAGTTTTGTGAATAATGTGTTG